GCCCTATAGCAAAAACCTCTCCCCCCCCCCAAAAAAAAAAGAAAAGAAAAGAAAAGAAAGGAAACCTTGCTAAATTGTCTTCAAAAGTAGTTGTACAATGTTGCATTCCTACCAGCAGTGAAGGAGAGGTCCTGTTGTCCCATGTCCTCGCTACCACTACGGTTTGGTCTTGTTGGCACTTTGGATTGCAGCCATTCTATTCGGTGTGTGATAGTATTTCATTGTGTCTTTGTATTTGTTTTGCTATAGGGTGTGAGTGCTCGCTGGAGAGAGATGGAAGGTTGGGGGGGGTGGTGAGAAATCACCCCCACGGGGGTTGGCCATGCTGCAATTCCTTCTCTACTCCTCTCTCAGGATTTGGGGAAAATCACGTGCCTGGTGTGATTTTTTTCCAAGCTGCTGGGTCCAGACTTGAATGGCAGAGTCAACCATATGGGATCCACCGTCTTAACCTCCATGCCACCTGCTGTCTCAGTGGTGTCTTTTTTTTGAGAGATTTTTGCTATAAGGCACATGTGACAGAAAGTGAGAAATTACCCACCCCGGGGGGTAATTTTACACTGCAATCCTTTCTCCTTCATTCCCCTCTCAGGATCTTGGGCACGCACATGTGCCTCCCCCCCAGCCCCCCACCCCATGTGAGATTTAAGCCACTGGGTCTGGGACTTGAACCTCAGTCAACTATGTGGGAGTCCAGTGACATAGTCATTATGCCATCTGCTGGTACCTCTCCATTGCTTTTAATTTGACATTCCCTAGTGGTATGAGATGCTGAGCATCTTCCTCTGTTTTTGCCTTTTTTTCTTAATGATGCACCATTTTACTTGACAAGATACCTGGGACAAACCGTGGCTATTCAAACTGCACATACGGCAGATATCGTCTCAAAAATAAACTCTGGAGCTAGTCCCGTGGCCTAGTCGTTAAGGGAACTGGACCTGGAGGCTTGAAAATCATGTCGGGCACATGTGTATGTGTGTCCAAAATCCCAGGAGGAAAAGGGATTGTGGTGTGACCATGCCCCCCTCTCACTGTCTCTCTCCTGCAAGCACACACACTCTATAGCAAAAACCTTAAAAAAGTGAATACACCGGAGCCAGCAGGTGGCATGGAGGTTAAGGCAGCTGGATCCCACGTGGCTGTGTGGTTTGAGTCCCAGGCCTGGTGGTTTGGAAAACACGCCATGCATGTATGAGTGTGCCCAGAATCCCGAGAGAAGAAGTGATTGCCACATGGCCATTTCCTCTGGGGGATATTTTCTCACTTTCCCTCTCTGTCTAGGTCTGTCTCTCTCCAGTGGGTACTTGGGCCTATTAGCCAAAAAAAATTTTTTTAGAGGTTTTCTGCCTTAGGTCACATGAGCTCACCAGAGAGAGAGAGAGAGAGAGAGAGAGAGAGAGAGAGAGAGAGGACAGTGAGAGGGAAAGTAAGAAATCACCCCCCCACAGGGGGGCTGGCGCTGCAGTCCCTTCTCAATTCTTCTCCCCGGGTCTTGGGCATACACGCACAAGCACCTGGCATGAGTTTCAAGCCACTGGGTGTGGACTCGAACCATGGTTGGCCACGTGGGAGTCCAGCAATGTAACAGCGCTACAGTAATAGTAAATTAAAAACAAATACAGGGAACCAGCAGTTAGCATAATGGCTTTGTCGCTGGATTCCCACGTAGTCGACCGTGGTTCACGTCCCGGACCCAGTGGCTTGGAACTCACACCGGGCGCATGTTCATACGTGCCCAAGATCCCGAGAGGAGAATGGAGGAGAAGGGATTGCGGCGTGACCATCCCCCCTGGGGGGTGATTTCTCGCTTTCTGTCTCTGTGTCTCTCTCTGTCTGTCTGGCGAGCGCACGCGCCCTATAGCGAAAACCTCTCCAAAAAAAAAAAATACACAAAAAAGCAAGAGATACCAATTATTTTAATGTAAAAAGTTCATAGATATGGTTTCAGATCCCACATTCCAACTAACCTTTAAAGGACTATCACTTGTAAGTCTAGGTGTGGTATCAAAGAAGAATATCCACAATTATCTTAAAGGTAGTTATAATGCTTTTCCCTTTTCCAACTAAATATCCGCGAGGGCCAGATGTCCTTCATACACTTCCAACATTTCGCAGCAGAACAAATGCAGACCCAGCCATGAGAATCCTCTTTAAGCTAATCCATTAATTCTGGCTTACTTAGCAATTCCCTAATGATATAAGTTCTAAGCATCTTTCTCTGTTCTCTACTCAGAAGGCCCCAGCGGTGAGACTAGCAATGAACCTGTGGAGAAGAGGGTCCAGGGACAACCGTGCCTTCCTTCTGCCAGTGTAGACACCCACCCACCCCTTCTGCGCCTGCGCTGTCCCGCCCCGGCGGCCCCTCGCTCCGCCCCCTGCCACCACGCCGGAGCCGGGCGCCCGGGTCTGGGCCCTTCACGACGGTGCGGGCGCTTTCCGGCCGACTGCGCAGGTGCTGATGTGTCGGGAGGCGGAGCCTAGAGGGCCACACCCTCCGGGCACCCGGGGTTCCGACGGGTGTGCTGTGACCCACCTACCTCGGCAGAGCCATGGCGGCGTCTGCCGGGTCCGCGCGGGCTTCGCCCAGCTCAGGTAGGCTTAGAGTCATGCCCTGCGATGGAGAGAGAAGGGGGCTGGTCTCGGAGGGGTGGAGACGAGAGATCTCCCCGTGGGACCGAGTGGAGGAGGCCCCTGCGGTAAGGGGCGTGTTGGGAGAGGTCGAGATCTACGGCTTCACTGTGATGGTGACATTCGAGGGCACTGAGCGGCCAAAGGGCCATGGTCTGGTAGGTCTGGAGATCCTGGTGGAAGGGGTGCAAGATGTTCCCAGTAACCAGAGGTCACGGGAGAACCCAGGTGGGCCGAAACGCGGGGTTGCTGGGGCCGTGCATTCTCTGAATGGCGGAAGAGCCCACGTCCACTCCCGCACACACGTTTTCTCCTTTTATTGGTTGCAGGTAAAGTACACAAAGATAAGGCTGGACAGACCTCAGGGTCCAGGCAGGGCAGCCGAATGGGGAAACTCCTAGGTTTTGAATGGACAGATTTGTCCAGTTGGCGGAGGCTGGTGACCCTGCTAAATCGACCAACAGATCCTGCCAGCCTGGCTGTCTTTCGTTTTGCCTTTGGTGAGTCCAGGTTCTGGGTGGGGCAGTGTGGGTGGGAGAATGACAATTTGCTTCTTGGTTACTTGGTAGACTTACCTCCCTTTTGTTCAGAGCTGAAGGCATTGACATAATAGAAGAACTCTGTTTAGTGCAGGCTTTGTCTCTAGTTAGAGTTTGGTGACTGGACGAGCTTTGATTCGAGCCTATATGAAATTCAGAGCAGAGGAACAGGGACCTATTTTGCTTGTTTCAGAGTCGCCTAGTGGTTATACTAAAGACTTCAGAGAAACAGAGCAGGGGGGGTAGTGGGCAGATAGTTTGGCTATACCTCCCTAATCTGGAGCTTCCTAACTCCTGGGCCACAGCATGTGTTCTTGGAATGGGTCATAGATGTGCCAGGATAGTAATCCCCTAGTAAAGTAATTCACAACTAGGGGCAATTTTGCTCCCCAAGAGTCACTTGGCAATATCCGGAAACATTTTCAGTTGTCACAACTCGAGCGAGGAGGAGTAGGTAGCTGTTTGCACCGGCTGAATCAGTGATGGTCCCCAGTGTCTTATAATGCACAGGGTAGCCCCCTCTGCCAAATAATTAAGCAGCTCAAGATATGACTAGCCCCAAGGAAAAGGAACCCTGCCTTAACCCAAACCGGGGTGGCCTCTTATTTATCCTATCCATATCCTTCTGGATGTGCCAAGAAGTGGAAAGGTTGGAAGTACCTCCTAGAGTGCTTTCTGAAGCCCATTAGGATGGATCTTTATCATCATCCCAACCCTAACAGGTTTTTTTTTTTTTGAGAAATTTTCACTGTAGGGCGCGTGCGCTCGCCAGACAGACAGAGAGAGACATAGAGACAGAAAGTGAGAAATCACCCCCCAGGGGGGATGGTCACGCCGCAATCCCTTCTCCTCCATTCTCCTCTCGGGATCTTGGGCACGCACGCACACGCGCCCGGCGTGAGTTTTTAAGCCACCGGGTCCGGGACACGAACTGCGGTCGACTACGTGGGAGTCCAGCGACATAGCCATTACGCTAACTGCTGGTTCCCCCAACCCTAACAGGTTTTATAACCTTTTGTATAATTCCCTCCTTTCATCCTCTCCGTATTCCTGTGAAGTATTAGGAGCCTCTTATTCACAATTAAGGAATTGGCTCATGAGCTCTAGGGCTGTCCAAGAACACAGAGCCATCGTGATGGCATGGGGTAGGTGCTAGTCATTCATGAAACAATAAGAGATAGCCAGGTTTAGAGAAGTCTGGCCCCGGTGCTGGGTCTGTTGACTGTGTTCCGCTGTATTCTACCGCTTCCTTAGCTGAAGCCTCACAACCCCCTCCCCGGTTGCCTTCTCAGGGTTCTTGATGGTGCTGGACATTCCACAGGAGCGGGGGCTCAGCTCCCTGGACCGGAGATACTTGGATGGGCTGGACGTGTGCCGCTTCCCCTTGCTGGATGCCTTGCGCCCACTGCCCCTTGACTGGATGTATCTTGTCTACACCATCATGTTTCTGGGTGAGGGAACTGTGGAACGGATGGGAGTGTTGACTGGCCTGCCAAACCCACAGAAATAAGAAGCATATTGATGAATGGCCATGGTCCTAGGTACCTTGTTTTTCTTCTGTGATTTAGTATCATGCTGCCGACCTCTATGTCATCTCACTGTGGCCCTGTAACTCCTCTTTGAAAAATACTAGAATAGAATTGAATTTTCATTTAGTTTTGCCTGATTATAAAATGCCTGACATTTCTCTTTTTTTTTTTTGAGAGAGATTTTTGCTGTAGGGTTTGTGCACTTGCCAGAAAGACAGAGAGACAGAAAGTGAGAAATCACCCCCCTGGGGGGATGGCCATGCCGCAATCCCCTCTCCTCCATTCTCCTCTCGGGATCTTGGGCATGCATGCACATGCGCCGGGTATGAGGCTAAGCCACCCAGTCCGGGAGTCGAACCGCGGTCAACTACATGGGAGTCCAGCGACATAGCCACTACACTAACTGCTGGTCCCGCTGGCAACATTTCTTAATCCAAACCACAGCTTGTCCCAGGGAAGCGGGGCCTGTGGTGACCCTTGACCTCTTAATCCTCTCCTTACAAATCCCAGGGGCACTGGGCATGATGCTGGGCCTTTGCTACCGGATAAGCTGTGTGTTATCCCTGCTGCCGTACTGGTATGTGTTTCTGCTGGACAAGACGTCATGGAACAACCACTCCTATCTGTACGGTTTGCTGGCCTTTCAGCTGACATTCACGGATGCAAACCACTACTGGTATGAATCTGGGGGGACAGAAGGAAGCAGTCTAGTGGTTGTAGAATTTTCCCCAGGATGTGTAGTTTCAACACATTGTTCTCAAAGTGCGGTTACAAGGTCGTACTTTAATGGGGGAGGGCCAGCCACTTGGGGTGCTGGAGTGAGAAAAAGGAAAAGGTCTCCATCCCATCCCTTTTACTCTTTCTCTGTCTTCCCAGGTGCTTTGATCTGTCCACTTCCTAATACTCTCTAAGAGTATCCCTCTTAGAAGAAGAGAAGATTAAAGCCCAGCATAGCTGTTTTCGGATACTTCAAGGGTGGTCATGTGGAAGAAGGGGCAGTCTTTCTGGGTGTGCCCACGCAGGGCAGAGTTAGAGCCGAGAGTAGAAGTTGTCGGAGGCAGAGAACATGTGAGAAGGAGTGGGCCCATCAGGACTGCTCAGCAGTACCGCCCTGGGAGGAGGTAACCTCCCCCTCTCTGGCTTAAGTGACCATCCCTTAGGGGAGGCGGAGAGGGTTTTAGAGATGGGGTGGCAGGGCACATGACCTTAGGGATTTCTTTTACTACTAAGTGAACAGCAAATATGAGATGTCAGTAAAATGAGTATAAATGAAAAGACTTCCAACATTGAATTCTTTAGCAGTCCACTTCATTCATTAGGTACGCCTTTTGTAAAGCTTCAAACTCGTTGAGAATGGCCAGCTCTGATCAGAGAGAATTAAGGGGCAGTTTTGACAGACTCTCTCCGTAAAGTTCCACTTTATGACTTTCTTTTATTTCCCGCCAGTGGGCATGTGTGCTTTCTGGAGAGAGACAGAGGAACAATGGAGCAAGAGCCACCACAGTCCTTCCTCCATTTCTCTGTCCCATTGGGATGTTGGGTACATGCACAGATGCACACCCAGCATGTGTCTCAAGCCGCTGGGGCCAGGATTCAAACTGTGGTTAGCCATATGGGATCCAACTCTCTTAACGACTAGACCACAGGCTGTCCCTCACCCTTTTTTTTTTTTTTTTTTGAGTGTCTTGCTATAGGATGCATGTGCTTGCTAAGGAGACAGACAGACAGAGGGAAAGTGGGAAAGTGAGAAAACACCCTTCCAGGGGGATGGCCATGTCACAATCCCTTCTCCACTCTCCTCTTGGAATTTTCGGCACATATGTATACATGTCTGGCGTGTTTTTCAAGCCACAAGGTCTGGGATGGCTCCATTTTTACTACTTTTATGTATTTTGAAAAAATTACCTATTTACGGAGAGGTTTCCACATGACAGACACCATGCTAAACATTTCAACATTTTCCTTGGGCCAGCCAGTGGTGTGAGTAAGGTGGCTGGATCCCACATGGCTGACTATGCAGTTGAGTCTCAGACCTGGTGGCTTGAAAACTACCCCAGGCGTGTGCATGTATACCCAAAATCTCCAAAGGAGATGAGGAGGAGAAGGAATTGCAGCATGGCCATCCCCCATTGGGGGAGTCGGCGCTTTCTCATTTTCCTTCAGTCTCTGGCCAGCGCATGTGCCCTCTAGCAAATTAAAAAAAGATTTTTCCTATAAGGTCCATAGTGCTACTCCCATTTTATAGATGACGAAATTAAGTCTGAGAGAAGTATAGGATTTGCCCAAGTCACAAGCAGCTAAGAAAGCCCAGGGCTCTTGACCATAAGTATGAGGTGCCCCGTTCCCTGTTGCCCTGGATCCTGACAGCCAGGTCTGTGACCTGTTCATGCCGTATGTTATTCTGCTGTTGAATGTTCCAAAATGGTTTTTAGGTTTTTGCCATAGGGCCTGTGTGCTTGCCAGAGAGACAGAGATAAAGAGAGGAAAAGTGAGAAATAACCCCCCCAGAGGGATGGCCATGCCGTTTACTTTTCTTCCAGTCTCCTCTTGCTATTTTGGGGACATGCATAAACACACACCCAGTGTGATTTATTTTCTTCTTTTTAGAGACTTTTGTCTAGAGCGTGTGTACTTGCCAGAGAGAGACAGAGATAGTGACAAAGAAAGCAAGAAATCACCTCCCGGGGGGATGGCCATGCCACAATCCCTTCTCCTCTATTCTCCCAGGATCTTGGGCACGTAAGCACACATGTCTGGTGTGGTTTTCAAGTCACCAGGTCTAGGATTCAAACCACGGTTGGCCATGTGGGAATCCAGTGATGTAACTGCTATGCCATCTGCCGGGCCCACCTCCCAGTGTGCTTTTTAAGCCATTGGGTCTGGAACTCAAACCACAGATAGCCATGAGGTCTAGCGCCTTAACCACGACAACACCTGCTGGCCTCAGTCGCTCTTTTTTTTTTTTTTTTAATGCACATTTTCCATGAACATTTTGAAGACCCCCTCGTATCTACACATGTCTAGATTTTTAAACACTCTCTCAGATTCACTCCCCTCCTTATTTTTTTTTTTTTAAGAATTAACTTTATTTATTATCATTTTAATATTTCCAGAGAGAGAGACACAGAAAGAGTGAGGGAAGTGAGAAAGCAAGCCTCCAGGTCCAGGACTCGAACCATGGTGGGCCATGTGGGAGTCCAAACACTACGTCATCTGCCAGCCCCCACTCCCTTCTTTATTTCTAGCACTGTAGCCTTATTTCCTGATTTAATCCATCAGGACACAGACACTGAACTTTTGTTCTTACAAGTTTATTAGTGGGCCTGGCAGGTGGCGTGGTGGTTAGGGGTGCTGGACTCCCACCTGGCTGACTGCAGTTGGAGTCTGGACCTGACAGCTGGCTTTGTCATTTTCCCTCTCTCTCTCTCTCTCACTTTGTCCCTCTCTGGTCAAATTAAAATAAATAAAAGTTAACGAACAATTGTCGTCTTAAAAAAAGTTTATGGGACCAGCAGTTAGCATAATGGCTATGTTGCTGGACTCTCATGTAGCTACCGCAGTTTGAGTCCCAGATCTGGTGGCTTAAACTCACGCTGGGCGCACGTGCGTGCATGCCCAAGATCCTGAGAGGAGAAGGGATTGTGGCTTGGCCATCCCCCCTGGGGGATGATTTCTCGCTTTCTGTCTCTCTGTCTCTCTCTGTCTTTCTGGC